TGCCCAAGTACCCAAGCTGTAAAAATCTATAGAAAAACGTGTTTTTCTTTATTGTTTTTGCCATAAATACAAATGATTGGGCATAATTTTTTTCATTCGTTCCATGCTCCTGTCGCTGCTGGTCAGATACATTCTATCGAAACTATTTTATATCGTCACCAAATCAACCACCACGCCAGCCACAGCCACGCAAGTTATTCCCAGTTTTCAAGAAAAAAATTTTGTTTGCCGTACCAGACTTGGTAAACAATTGTACAACGGAAGTACAAGTGTGGGTCAGACCCTGAGAGTGCTACCAAATCGGACTTCAGGCATCGCTACGCATTGTCAGTGAAACACGACTTCAGGCATCGCTACACATTGTCGGTGAAACGTCGAATCGCCGTGTACGCTAAGCAGCACAATCAGCGAGCAGCCGTTCTTATTTATTTGACATTTGTTATTTGTTATATTTTTACAGAATAAATTAATTGCAATGATACATCATTAATAATTATTTGTCTGTTTTGGTTGTGTGTGTGTGTTTGCCTATCCCTTCCCCATTTCACAATGAAAAAGTTTGATCACCCTGGTTTAAGAGCCACTGGCTACAAAGTTGTCAAAATGTTACCTCAAATAAGCACCACCCAGAAATGAAAGTGTTACAAAGTGGCTCCTATTTGAGGGTTTTTACGGTAATAACTGTGTAATGAAGTTGTACATGGTTGAAAACTTCATATATTGAAAGAACAGGGATCAAAATAGCCTTAAAATTTTTAAATAATTAAATGCAATGTACTTACCAACCCCTTTTGGAGCTCTAGGAGCTGCGGCCTCTATTTCAAGATAGTCCTCACCATTCTTAAGGTTATTAACTTTTGCCACCGGAGCAGGAGGAGGCATGTATTCAGGGGGTGTCACAGCGACCTCAGGCGTAGGCGCCACATCAATTGGTATTATCAGTGTTCCATCTGGTGAGTCCTTATCTGATAAATCTTCAAGGGTTTGCATATCCTCCATCTTTAGCGTCGTTTCAAGCATTTTAGAAAACCTCTTCATTTCTTTCTCCTCCCTAGAAGTAAACGCAGCATGATTTAGAGACACACTTCAAACAAATACAATATATATGATATACATGTACATGTTAAATCAATGCTGACTGGATATACATGTACACATTTACTATTGTTCATACTTTTTGTTTCCTGTAGTGGACTCCTCCTCTAATTCCTCAGTTGACGATGAACTTTCTCCTTGTTGTGATGTCTCTGATTGTTTCCTCGACTGGTTGCTGCTAGAATCATCCGAATCCTTGTCGCCATTGGTTACACTACCTTCTTGTGAATCTTCTTTTTCAGGTTTACTTTCTACAATATTTACTTTTTTCTGTAAAGAAATGTGTGTTGTGAAAATAAAAATATGCTGGGTACATGTATATATTTAAATATGCGTTGTTGTGCACTGCAACATGCAAGGCTCCACTTCAGGAAATCCTGGTCAAAAGGAAAAAATGAATAATACAGTGGTACTTATGCAAATATATTAATCAATATGCTAATACACCACTCCTATCCTGCATTATAATGACACACCCATACAACGTAATTTCATTTGCATTCTATTTTCTCAAACTGTAAATATAATTTTTGATAACTCTCTTTGTAGTTCATAGAATGTACATTCCATGCAAAGACGATGATATGGGTGAAGTACACGAAGCCATACCTTGGTTGAGCTTGGTTCTGGATTAGACTTGGCTCTAGAGAGAGGTTCTTTTGTAGACTTGGGAGTAACACCATCAATAGTATCCGTGGAACTACACGTTTCAGAGGCTCTACGTCTTTCAACTACAGCTGTTGAAATACATAAGAACAAATACGTATATTTCTTTATTTATGAATGAATTAAACAACATATTGTTATATGTTAATATGGAGATGTTAATCTGTCTTGAAATATTGTACCTGAAACAAATACTCATGCAGAGATCAGTATAACCAAAGACCCTTCTTTTCTAGGATCACTCTAAGGATAATATACAGATATTTTTACCAGAGAGTGTGGTTGATAGAATAAAAATGGAAGAAACATACAATATGTATTAATTTTGAGTTATGAGCATTTAGAAAAACACAACTTTCAATTAAAAGCACTAATATAATAACTAAAATAAATTATTTTATGATTTTTGAAATTCTTATATAAACAGCATGTTGAATGGTCACACATGTTATGGCAGCCAAAAAAATAATTTAATTCATTTTAAAAACATTATCAAAATATCCCTGAAAATTTCTGTAATTAGGATAATGTTTCGTATTGTGTAATATGGGGTGAATAGAGATGAGTGGGAAGACAGCGTAACAACACACAGTAACTACAAGCACACAAGATGTCAATTCTACATGTATTGTGGTGGAAATCAAGGTCACAAGAGCATTTGTCAGGCAATACAAATTCAATCAAAAATATTTCTTATAAACATAAATTTTCTATTAATATGACAAGGTGGAAGAGCACTGCAAATAATTTTAAATGAAAGATTAAATTCAATCTCAGATGCCCTGCCTTTTCCCCCAAATTGTTTTGAAATTTATATATATTTCGTCAATTTTTCAATGCATAAATATTTACCAACAGCTGATTTAAATCATGACATATAAATGTACAATGAGTACTAACCCGGGTATCCATCTCCTGTGTGTTGTTGCAGCAAAAACAGTGTGGATTGAATAAGAATGAAATGAAACAAAGTGCAATCATAGTAAAATATGATTAACATGATGGGACATACATGTAGTTGTACCTTAACAGCCACAGATTCAAACCATGCAGTAAAAAGTACTACACTAGACAATCAGGAATAGAAATCAATTCATTAGGCAAGCACATTTACATGGTACAGTGTAGAAGAGTTTTCACCTCAGAGCATGCAATTAAAAACACCAGTTACACCACTTCAAAGTTGTATTGTGTGTTATTTTACAATAATTTGATTCTTTTACGTTTTTTGAATTTGTTTGTACTACACTGTGAATTGGTTTCACTTGAATCAATTTTTTAATAATTTATATTTATTTATTTAATACTAAGGTAGAATGTTACTCATGCGTTTTTTACATGTGCGTATATTTCAGCGCATATAGCAGTGACAATAATACTTTGTGTCAAAATCTGTCTACAATTAATTATTTTAGTAGTCATTTTAGTGTAAAAATTCACTGTCAATTTGTTTTTGGGAAAAAAAAAACTGTCCAGTAATACACAATTAAGCAGTGGTTTTCATAAAATACATTTCAACCTTAAAAACCTATTTATAAAAACAATTTTGTAATACTTTTAAGGCACAAACAAGTAAAACTATATATAACATTTTAAAATCATATCTCACTGTTCAAAATTTTCAGATATTGAGATATCTTTTCCAGAGGAAACAATAGTAAAATGCTCCAAAACAGACAAGACAAGCTATTTTCTGAGATCATTACGATGATCTTATAATTGTATTTCATTTTTGCATGAAATATACAAGTTAAAATACAGTATCCCCCTATAGGTGTTAGTATGTCAGTCTCAAAAGTAGTTGGTTTTCACTAAAATTCTACTCACAAATCAAAGACTGATTCTGATATCATATTTATTAAAACACTTCGCAATACAAATTATGAGTGTAACAGAATGTGTATTTCATAGTCTTTCCAAAGGAGTATAATTTGGGAAGCAGGAGAAAAATACAGTACATAATCTGAGTGTAAAGTGTTAAAATAAATGATAATATCTTTATACATATAATGACAGAGCAGAAATTTTTATGAAAGATCACAAGAGATAACTAATACAGACACATGCAGTCATTATATTACTAAAATTAATACACACTTCAGTAGGTACAAGATAAAAACTATTGAGTGACCCACCTGGTAAGCCTCGCGGTGTTCCGCCTCTTTCCTGAGATTCTCTCAGTCTTCTTCTTTCCCGAGCAGAAGAGTTACAGGACTTCCTCTGCAAAAAACAACAACATGCAATGATAAGCTATTTTAGTCCATACTTATAAAGTGTATATACCTTTATATGCATGGTATTCAAAGTAATGTGTAAGCTAATCACACAAATACCAATTATATATCAACCACTATTTGTAAGCAATTTTGATTTACCATTGATGAATCTCCAGCAGATATGGTAAATTTCGACACAGCCAAATAATATAGCATTAATAATAAAAGTGAACAATTTTCAGTTTGGCTATGAAAAAGATACAGGGAGTGCATGCAAACTCTAGCATTGTTGGGTAACAAGAAACAAACTTATTTTTTACTATTTGGCCAAGTACTTGATGCATATATCATATTTGCTCTGTTAGAAGCACATAGATCTCCAATAGAAATACATGTAAACCAATAGTTTTATTTACTGTATACTGGATTATGATCATACACACCTCTGCCATTTACAAAAATACATGCGCTACTAATAGAGCGAAATTTGGTAGATGAATAATGGAGTGCACCCTGGATACTCTGCAAGACTGAATATGAGGAAAATTCGAACACTGAATGGAATTTACTTACCAACTGTTGTGCTGAGGTATGGGAATTGTCTTTAGAACTTGATACTGAGCTTGAATTGGAAGACGTGCCTCTGTTTTTGTTTGAAGCTGAGGTAGGTCGGGTCTTGGCTGCTGACGAAGATGAACTCTGCGTTGGACCTTGACCTTTGGATTCCGATGGAGGAGGTGGCAAGGGGCGGGCTTTATTGGCTCTCGGCTGAGAACGAACACAGGATCTGATTAAATACATTGTTCATATTGATCACAATGTTTAAAGTTTTAACAATATTTATTGTAGCGTAAAAAAAATCTTGAATGTAAATAACTATTTGTCAAAAAAACAAATAATGGTATAAAAGAGTTGTTTACTTACCCGTTCAATTGGTATTGCGCTTCCTGATGAACCAGATGATCCGGAGCCCTCTCTGGCTGATTTGATCTTCCTTCTCGCTACTTCTTTAGACCCC